GGGGGGGGGGGGGGGGGGGGCATAATTAAGTGCGAAGGCCCGAGGATGCTTCTGCTATAAACCTTTAAGCTCTTCCACAACCGACAGGCTTAACCATCTGTGACTGTCTGCTCTCGTGATGAAACCAACGCGCTACCAACAAAAACCAGCCAAGAAACCACGAAGCGCAGAAGCCGAGAAGCTACGAAGCTAAGATCGATAGTTGGATGCATGGTTGAACTGACATGTTTTTACGTGAACTGAAATAGTATGTATTTGCATTATCTAAACTGACTGAAATATATGTACCTGTGTGTTTGTGCTCTCGTCCGGCCTCATCCTCGAGCACCTGCGACTCTTCGATCACCTCACTGGAAGAAGTCGGTTTCATAATGTAGTGTAACGTAAAAGCCGTTCATCTGTATAAGACAACAGAATGTAACATACTGTAATTTAAGTTAGTGGTATACTATATTGAATTCATATATTGTTTGATCATATAGCAAGAAGTCACCTGAGGTTCCATTCTTGTCGCTTCGTGGGCCGATGGCCTAAGGCGGAGGGCCTCGGGGTTTGGGATTCAGAGGCTGGGAACTTTCCAAAAAAAGCTGAGGTTGGGAGGGTTCAGGTAAAGTTTAGGTTGTTTAGGTTTCCGTAGTGTGGAACGCACCACATTGCGAATTTTTCGGAAGTATCGTGGAGACTCACGAACTGCCACTGCCGCATGAAGAGTGCTGTTGCCAGGGCTCCCACGACATTCCCAGTCTCACCGACTGTCTCGAAAGCCTGGCTGGCATCTGCGCACCGCTGTGCTTTGAATCGCAAGCCACGCTGTTCCCGAGGCCCTACAGAGCAACTTGCACCTGAGAGATCTTCTGCCCCATGCCCTCGTCTCCGCTGACCGAAACTGTGGCGATATCTGGCGTGGCAGAGGGCGCTGGCTGACGCTGGGCTTCTTACATGCTGAAAAGGGCTCCGAATCGAACTATGGCTTCTATGCTCTATATACCTAGAATGATATTACCCAGCATAAAGTTGTGAGCATTCATTCACAAGCCGTCAGCAACCCTGCCTTTAAGATCGCCGCTTTGAACTGGCTTTGCCAAATGGTCAACCTGCCCAGAATCTGGCCCAGAAGCTCGAGATAGCTGCTTCCGGAGCTGCGTGAAGCCGTGTGCTTTCTCTTCACGAGCCTCGGAGGCAATGAAGTTGGCAGCTGCCTGGAGCTCGCGAACAAAAAATCAACTGAGACGGATGTTTCACAAGATTTAACCGTTGCACGTCTCTGTCGTGAAGACATTGACATGGATGTGAATCGCCACAGAAGCAACACCGGCGCGAGCATGTTGGCCTCTTCCCTTGGCTACAGTAGTCACGGCCTTTTCCATTCTGCAGAGGGGCACCGCATTGAACTGAATGACAGGCCCTCACATGCGCATCCTTCTAAACAGAAGCAGCACGGTAAGTGAAGCTACTTCCCATCGCTGTGAATAAACGCAATGCCAACCCCACCCGCGGTCGCCAAACGGAGTGTCCAGCATCATAGGCTGCAGATGCAAGCCGCTTTTGGGGTTATCCCTCCATCCGCATGATGAACCAAACCCTGAACCCTAAGCCTTGCACCCCGCCTTCATGCCCTTCTGCATGAGGACTGGGTTGTACCCACTGCTCACGAGCTGCATGCCCTTGACAGGTCTTGAACACATAGCCCGGGCGTGACATACATGAGGCTACAACGACCACAAAGACAGCAATAAGAGTGTGTTCGATACCAAAGCAGCCAGAACTACAACACCTCATCAAAGCAATCGCAAAATCCCCAAACCCCGAAACCCCAACCCGAAATCTCCGGAACCTGAAGCCCCAAACCCTCAAGCCCTAAACACCCTGAACCCTAAACCCCTGAAGCCCTAAACCCCTAAACCCCTTCACCCCTAAACCCCAAACCCGAAACCCCCGGCTCTTCGAAGCCTCGTTGACCATCTCCTGGGGGGGCGGCGCTTGCAATAAGATGCGGGAAGCTGGAGCTTGCTGGTGCAGTTCCCATGGGCTACAACCCTACGGATAGGGCCTCAGAATCGATTAGAGGGCTCTTGGGGGTTCTGAGAATCCCCAGAGTTTATAGGGCTAGAGCTTAGAATTTAGGGGGAATAGGGTTTAGGGGTTTCTTATCCCCCTCCTGGGTGAGAACGGCAGCGCTGGTCGTGCCATCCCCCGCGTTGGACTCAGACTTCGCAGAAGCCTGAGGCCACACTTCTGGAGCTGCAATCAAGAATCACGGCCGTTCAGTAGGGTCCAACTGAAGGGTGCGTTTGAGCTGAGAAGAACTGGAAACAAGCGGCTGGACACGTGCGGGCAAAGCCTCTGAAGCACCGGAATGTGCCCGGCTTCGCAGAGTCGCAGAGGACAAATACACCGCCGATACACTCAAACATGTCCGAAGAATTGCGTGGATCAAGAACCGCCCGCATGTGCCTGCGTAAGGAGCTTTGCGCCGAGGTTCATCTCCTTGTCCTGTCTACATGCAACACTACACAATGCGAAGATGTGGTGGTTTGCATGCAGTCATCAACCACTCGAAGTCTCTCTCAAGCCTGCAGTGAGATTGCACGAGCAATGGTGACCCCATCGTTGACGATCTGAGGAACCTGCGCAGCGCGTTACATCTGGCAGAGACGAGAAAGCGATGGGAGAAAGACCTCCCCCCGCAGCCTGGAACGACTCTCTCTGGAGCACCACGTTTCGGCCCTTTGGTCCCAGGGTCACCTTCACCGCGTTTGTCACGGCGTTGATTCCTGCTTGGAGCCTCAGCGCACCAAAGACGAGGCTCGATGGCTGCAGAGAGCGAAGGCAGTTGTGGCACTTCTGTTGTCCGGCTTCCCTGAAGGAGATCTTCTTCGCAGCCTGCACAGCTGACGATGAGCAGTGAATGCAGGCGAGCCCGGCAAGGCAGAAACGATTCGAAGCGACATAATCCCTAAAAATCCCTCTCAACCCTGATCCTGACCAAGTACGGCCCTTGCCTCCCTCAGCACACTTGGCTCCCGGGTGGCTGGGAGGGACCGCTGCCCTGTCGCAAGGGGGACTGTGGGGTCCAAGCGTTCGGGCTTGAGAATTCAAGATGTAGGGAGACTTGTTGAAAGACTGTGCTGGGGAGCTGGTGGTTGAACTAACTGACTCGAACTGACTAGTGGTGGACTTGCTAGTTGACTGACTGACTAGCCAAGGAAAGCCAACTTCTGCGGCGTCACAGAAGAACCATCAATGTCCTCTTGAGGAGCCTCTTCCTGCCAGAGAAACCCGAAGGTGTCAATGCATAAATCGTTTTGTCGAAGCGTCGTTTCAGCTGGAAATGCCCTAAATCCTGAACCCCACGCTTTAGCCTCCAAGCCCTAAATGCCTTTGCACCCCTAACCCTCAACTCTAACTTAAGCTGATAAGCACTTATAGATCTTATAAACCTCACTCTGAAGTCTCTGCACAAGAGCCTTTTCCAAAAGGGTCACCCGACAAACTCGGCTAAGAGACGGCACGGGATAGATTCGGATGGGTGGATAGACAGAGATAGATAGAAAGGTAGACTGATGTGTAGATAGATAGGTACAGAGGAACGCACGGATAGCGCGATGGCTACAGATCATGCCTAGATGCCGGCTTTGGGATTAGGACTAGGAGGCGTAGAAAAACATACTTGTACCATGTGTTTCCACTGTGGGTGTTTGCATCATGATGTGGGGGTTTCCGACCCCTATAAAGTACCCTAAATAGTAGGATCCTTATAATAAGGACCCCAAGTAAGGTACCCCTAATTTTTTGGAAGCTCCCATGTGCTTGCAAACAGCCGGCCTGCAAGGACGAAACTCGACTGCCAGCTGGCAACGGCCTCAGACCCGATGCAACTCCAAACATGTGGCCATTTTGTTGATTTAGGGCCTTTAGGGGTGTGCGGTTCCCAGGGGGCCCCTCTCCTTTTGCAACGCGTGCTCTTCATCTTCAGGTGATGATGAAGCGAAGCTGGCCAGGATTCTTTCAAAGGTCTCAATCCAAAACCTCATCATCATCTTCAAAGTCTTCCTCCTCGCCTCCATCCCAATCCATAACGTTCTCCTCATCTGATGACGCATCGATCACTTGTCTATCCAAAGTCGTGGGCCCAGATGGGGGCATCAGAAACTTTTCCAAATCAGACTTGTCGCATTCGCCCATCTCCAAGCCGAAGCACCCCTCAAAATCTTCAAGGTCTCGTAGCTTCTGCCAAAGATGCCCCAGCGTGGTACACCCCTCGGCGTCCACCGCAGAGACCTTCGCGCCCGCAGCGATCAGCTTGGCACCAGCAAGCCGTGGGCACGGACCGGTTGGATCTCGAGAGGTTTAGGGTTTAGGGTTTTGGGGTTTAGGGTTTTAGGGTTTACAGGCGCCCTTGGCAGCCAGCATCAGCGGCACCAGCCCGGATCCATCTGGTTGGTCTACGGCCTCTTCGGGAGAAGGCGTCAAGCGCAGGAGTATCTCCAGCCGCTCCAGATCCCCGTTGTAGACGCAGCAATGGATTGCACAGGAAGCTTCGATGGAAGCACCTTTTGCCAACAAATCGCGAATCTGGGCCCTCGGTACCTTCGTTTTTCACCAGCTCGAACAAATCCTTGTTTATTCCTGAAGGCGGCTCGCCCTCCATCGGTTCTAGTATGGACAGCGACCTAGCCTCTTTTGGCGACTTCATCTCATGGTCCAAGAAGCTGGGAACTGCAAACAAAACAACGCCGTGGCCTTGCATTGCTCTTTCATTTTCTGTGGGCACAGGGTGTTCGAGAAAAACAGTGAGCCTGGAGAATGGCACCCTGGCTGAGTTCGGGCGCAACTTCCGAACTCAGCCAGGGTGCCACTCTCCAGGCTCACTGTTTTCCTCGAGCACCCTGTGCCTGCAGAAAATGAAAGAGCAATGGAATCTTGCCAAGCCCCTTAAGCTCTGAGCGTCAGGGAAAAACAGCAAAGAGACGAAGAAGAAGAAGAAGAAAGATATGAAAAGCCAGCGGCTGCCGGTAAGACCAGTGCGAAGCGTCTCCTAAGCAACATCGACCGCAGCGACCAATGCGAGCGGAAGCAAGCACAAAGCACCGGAGCTCTGTATCACTGGGGATCACTACTGCAACCGTCCATCTTCCCTTCAAAACGGTGTCCAGCAGCAGCTTGCGGATCACCACTGCCCCCAGGTTTGGACGCTGGAACTCGTCGCCACCAAGCGTCCCAATGTAGAGAAATCCACCAGGCATCTCTGCATGGGCCCGGTACTCTGCCAGGGAAATGCTGGCTGCACTCCTTCGATATTTTCTGCCCCTTTGTGCCCCAGCTTGGTGTAATAGCCTCTGTCTATTTCTATGTCTTCATCAGACTTAGGCGGACCCTCCATCATCTCCTCGGGCGTCTGCAAGCTCACCGTCACCGACTCATCAAGGCGGCGCCGAGAGCCTCGGAGGCCCACTGACACAGCTGATGCAACAGCACCATCACGCGAAGCCAGATGGCTCAGCACTCGCAGGAGGGTTTCCTCCCCTTCGAGGAGCACCATGGCTCCAAAGCATGTGCTCCGACAGGTTACCTGCAGGTGTCAGGAACCTGGGCTAGGAGCAGTGGCTAGTTTTTAACGAACCCTCTCCATGGAGGTGGATGGGGTGGGATCGAGGACGACGAGTGTACGACCAGTGACAATGACGACTAGAATACTGGAAGACGCGATGATGTGATGATTCCCAAGCTCCCCAAACCCGGCACCGTCACCCGACTCCCCTCGAGCCGACAGCCCTAAAGGATGCAAAACACCCATGCGCAGGAGCCGTATGTCACAACGATATCCGTGCAGTCCTCTTTATGCTGTAGATCGCTCGACATGACCCCAAAGCAAGGGGCTAAACCCTAAACCCTAAACCCTAACATAGTACCCTAAACCCTAAACCCTAACACAGTTCCCTAAACCCTATACATAAACCCTACTATAGTACCCTAAACCCCAAACCTTACTATAGTTCCCTAAACCCTAAACCCTACTATAGTTCCCTAAACCCTACACCCTACTATAGTACCTAAACCCTAAACCCTACTATAGTAACCTAAACCCGAAAGTACCGAAACTAGTAGGTTAGTAGGAGCTGGGAGCCAGGCAGCTGCCACGGCGAGCAGCGCAAGCTGCGCTCGCCGGCTTCGCACTCGCCGGGCCATGGCCTTTGAGCTGAGGGCCATGGAGGCTCTTCTTTTGGCGGGCTTCGGGGATGGAGAGCTTCGGGTTTAGAGTCTTAAGGGTTTAGGGTTTAGAGTTTAGGGGTTTAGGGTTTGAGGTTTAGGAGTTTGGGGTTTAAGGGGTTCAGGGGTTTAGGGCTTTTGGGTTTAGGGTTTAGGGGCTCTTTGGCTCCGATGGGTTCGCTCACCGCGGCAAGGATGCACGGGTTTCCTTCTTCCCCAGTGGACTGCCGTGATTGGACGGGTGGTTTCGCAGCTCCGACTTCCCGGGACAAGGCTGTCAAGTCGAAGTGAACCGGACCGGTCAACGCTCAAAGAGCCGGTACTGCCAGGCTCCCGGCGAGATTCTCTTGCAGGGCTTCAGCGCCACCCTTGAAGACCCCAAGCTGCGGTACCGAGTCGCAGGACGTGGCGTTCGTGCCGCTGTCGGCTGGTGCGTTATACAGGCTCTTACCCGACCCTACGCACTCAGCTTGCTTGCACATCGCGGAAATGTGGCTAAGGAGACTTGCACACGCACATGCAATGAATTTGGAGACATATCCTACCAAACTTCATTAACTACTCTGCAAGCCCGAGCACATACGACATGTGCTCGATGCTTCAGGCATTAACCGCTTCGCCCAAGTTGAGGGCAAGAGCACTGCGAAAGGTTGCTGAGGCTGATTCACACAGCATCCCTACCACAGGTGCCACTGGGGCGAAAGATTTTGGTCCTAGTTTCTCCAGGCCTTCCCCTCTGCAAACCTCAAAAACCCGTCCGACGTGCCACGGTGAGACAGCACTGCGCTCCGACAAGCTAGAGCTGCATCTAGTGCTCCAGTTCTGTAAAATTTACACTGCAACAAAGCTTTTGGGTTTGGGGTTCAGGCGTCTCCTCACGCATCGGACTCGCCCTTCTGCACAGGGCTCTCCACATGATCGGCACCTCCAGAAAGTGCTTGCGACTCTGAACCCCTGCCCCCTTGTCAGAATCCAAACCTTTCCTTCAAGACGGAGGCTGCAGCGGCTATGCTCCTTCAAGACGGAGGCTGCAGCGGCTATGCTATATATACCCCGAACCACTGAAGTAAACCCATAGTCCCTGCAGCTCAAGCCCTAAAGCCTGAGCCCTGAACCTAAACCACGCAATACCCAACCCCTGAATCCTGTACCTCACAAGTATGATTAATGGTTGATGTAGGCGCCTGAAAAATTAGAACTGGTGGGGTATATTATGCCGCACTGACAACAGGAAGTTTAAGCCCACATCACGGACATGACCAAAGCAGACGCAAGCATGATGCCGGCAAGGAACGAGCAGTCCTGCTTTGGTTAGCCGACGATATATATATATATATATGTATATATATATGTATATCTCTCTCTGTCTATCTATCTACATATACACTATGTATGCACATACATATATATATAGAGAGAGAGAGTTACATACATACATACATACATACATACATACATACATACATACATACATACATACATACATACATACATACATACACACACACAGACATACATACATACATACATACATACATACATACATAC